TAGTATTTAATCCTCAAAGCAGTTTTGGAAGATGAAATCTCTTAATTTTCCTCATCACCTAAATACCCTTTTATACCTGGAGGGTACTCACTTTTTAATTACATTTCCATCCATCGTATGTAACTTGTGAGTCTTGTTCATAACTCAGAACTACTACCAAGGACAGAACTGACACATTGGGTACCTGTCAGTCTAAAGATTCCTTTCAGTCTTTAGATTTCAATCTAAAGAACAATATCTGGTTATCACAATATCTGGCTGAAAGAAAACTCTGGCACACATGTAGCAGCAAAGGGCAAGTACTATATATTATGGATGCCCCCAGTGGCCACAGAATGAACAGTATGGTTCCAAACTCAAAGTGTTTTGGCTTAACCCTCACAACAAAGGGTTATCCAGGTATGCTGTGAAACCTAAGTCTACAATCACAGTAGTGAGAAGCTGAGCATTTGGAGTGTGTTACTTACATTTGAACTGAAAGGTCTAAGCTGGTGTGGATATGTATTTATGTTTTTGTGAAAACTCTTGTAAGCTTTTACAATGTACATACACACATTCCTTCTCAGGCAGAAATCAGTGGAAGGATGTCTTGGTTACTTTTCTCTCACTGATGAGACCAAATACCTGACACTTAAAATTAAGGAAGGAAAGGTTTATGTAGTTCACAGTTTGTAGAGGTTTCAGTCAGTAATAAGCTGGTTCCAAGGCAGAGTAGCATGGCAAGGGGTGATAGTTCATGGTGGTAGAAGACAGCCAAAGCAACAAGAGCAAAAATTGGAGAGAGCAAACCTCTTTTCCTCCCTTATACTGTAAGCAGGCTACCCACCCTAGGGTTTGACCTTTACACCCTAGGATGTAGAACTGCTGAGGCACTTAGTTAAGCTTCTAAACTTCTCAAGCCGCCACAATAAATTAATCATTACAGTACCCTAGGGTGTAAACAGCCTCCCAGGGCATGTCCTCTATACCCTAGAATGTAGAACTGCCCAGTCACTTAATTAAGTTTTAAACTTTTCAAGTTGATGCAATGCATCAAATATTACAGAAGGCACATTGTAGAGTTGATACCTCCAGGAAAATTTCTACCATCTCTTCTGCTTCTCAGATGAGACTTTCCCACCTATAACCATGGACTTATATGACTGAGTCTTTCCCAGGGAGCTCCATATGATGCCTCTATCCCATGTACTGTTCCTGGGACATTGAGAGTTTGCAGCCTTCTCTTGTGATTTCTGCAGCTCAAGTTCATTCCTCTTTAAGAGGACTTCAGTTTGGGCTTTGTTTTCACCTATACTTGAAAATTTTGTTTCAGGAATCTGTTGTATTTGTTAATCCTCTTATTCTGCCACATCTCTTTTGAGTTATCTTCTCTCTGGAAATGGAGTTGTGCCCAGAGTTGGGGTCCTGGGTAAACTCCAGATGATTATGGCTGTGTTGTCTAGACATCTAAGTACTATTCATCCAGTTAGTTAACTTTGGTTATCTGCTGAAAAAGCCAAAGACTTTCTCCTAATCTCTTGGGCTACCACTGGCTTCAACTGAGCTCAGTTATTATCACTTCCTAGGAGAGTGGTTCTCACCACAGACTGGTAAGTTCCAGAGTGATCTTTGTGACAGTTACTTTAGATTATGTCAGTTCTCTCTTCTTAGCCCTCTAACAGTTGCCACCATGGGGGCTGGGGATTTAGCTCAGCGGCAAAAGCGCTTGCCTGGCAAGTGCAAGGTCGTGAATTCGGTTCCTGGTACCGGAGAAAAACCAAAAAAAAACTAAAAAAAAAAAAAAAAAAAAAAAACCGGTTGCCACCATGGCTTGAGGGCAACACAGAGGGCATACAAAGACCTAATGACTTTAGAAGATCTTTCCTCCATCACCAAAGTCCTAAATCTTGCCTAATACCTTACAGTCCTCCTCATAGAGAGGCACCCTGGGGTTCTCCCAATCCTCAGGGTTGTTCCCAGCCTAGACTCTTCACAAGTCAATTCTTGTGCTTAGAAAAATATTTTTAACAATTGATTTTTAAATTGTTATTTTTGCCAATTTATTTTGTTTATGGTCTGTATCCCTCCTTGAGAATGTAAACTTTATAACGGTTAGGATGATTGTCATTTTTACCTGGTTATATAGTATGGACCCTAGAGTCAGAAGACCAAGTTTCAAGTCCCAAAAGCAACAAGTTCTGGAGCTGTGGCAAGTCACTACATTTCTCTATAAGTTTTTTTTTTTTTTACAGCAAAATGAGTTGACAGTAGTAATAAATACCAACAGTTGTGAGGACTAAGTAGAATAATTCCTTTAAAGAGCCAAGCACAGGGTATAGACCTGTGGTGAGCACTCAATATATGGTTACTATTATTTTACTATTATATTCTGGAGTAGGAGGCAGGGTTACTGGAAAGTCAGGTGGCAGTGGTGGTATGTTGGTTTCAAAGCCATTATCTCCCATTAAAATTGACTTTGACTTTCTCAGGTTTGTTGAGGGAATTTTCTCCTGACATTCAACAAAATCCCAGCCCAACCATTCCTTCACTGCCTCAACCTTAGTTCAGTTATTCACAAATAAAGTGGCCCATCCAAAATATGTGGAGCTTATTAAAAATAAATCTTTGAGAAATGTGTGGCTCATTGGTGGAATACTTTCCTGGCATGAGCAAGGCACTGGCTTCAACTCCCAGCTACAGAAAAAGAGCAAAAGAAAACAAACAAAGAAACAAAAAGCAATGTTTAATCCTTACACTGAGGTGTGAGGCTTTGAGTTCTCAAAGTATGGTCCTTAGAACAGGAAGATTATTAAGAATAGACACTTGCTGAACTATGATTTAGAATAGAACCTAAGATCTGGCCATCTGGACTTTTACAAGTACCCCATGTAATTATGATGTACAAGTTAAATTAAGAACATGATCATGTGGAATCTGAGTTTGATAAGCAGTTCATGTGACTTTGACACATTTGCATATTATAACACAGGAGCCAATGCTAGGACAATGTTGCACTGAATCACTTATCACACAGTGATGGTTCAGCCTTCTGCAGAATTCCAAACCTGCAGGCACAACCATCACAAAACTTAAGTGTACAGACTTTTAGCAAGAACCATGCAGGTCACATGAAGAACTCTAACAGCCCATTTCTTTTGGGTATACTGCTTTAATTCTATCAAGCTTACTCATTTGTTTTGTTTCTGGCGGTAGCTTGTATTCAAGGCTGTTTTATTGCTAAATTCACTTAATCTATTCATCACTAAATATTAATTGTATCCTTGCTGTATGTCAAGGTACCACAAATAGTACAGAGAATGTCATAATCCATAAGACAACATTTTGGAGTGCAACACTGATCATTAACAGAAAGAATACGGATGGGATTTGTTTTACAGGAAGCCTCAGGATGACAACATCCACAGTGGTCCTTTAGATACTGACTTCTTTAAACACCAGAGAGTGGGCTGCACGGCTTTATTAATTTATTTCCTGCCAAGCCCAGTGATTCAGAAAAAGTGAAAATTTCCCCAGCATGTTTTTAACCACTTGTCAGTCCAATGACTTAAATATAAGATGACCAAACTTGCATAATTTTTAAGTTTTATAGATAATAGGAAATATTAAAATGACAATTTTATTAAATTTATTTCATAGTTTTTCTGTGTGTTGTATATTTTAAAACAATCAACACAATGTAATGTTACAATCTGGATGGTAGTATCTAGATTGTTTCCAAAATTTTTTTGCATTATTTTCTTTCTTTAAACAACACACTTTACACTGTCATATTGGCCTTTCCTTTTTCCCTGTGGGTGGTATAATTTCAGTAAAATGTCTGCCTACTAAATGTAATGATGAAGACTTTGATGATGGACATCCTGGTTGTGCTTTGCTATCTTGTATTTTTCAATTATCTGGTCCACTAGACCTAGTCTAAATTGTAAATGACTTTCTGAATGCCCTTGTTTTGAATAAGTAACAAACAAGTTCCATACTGTTTGGTTCAGAAGGTACATAAACATTTTATAATAATATGTTTTTCCTTGCTTCTTCATTTCTTGTTAGATATTGGTTAACTCTACCAATTCACCCTTAGAATTATTATAATCATTGACCACGCATGGAATACTTTGTTTCTTTCTTCTTTCAAGTTCTTCATTCAAGTTCTGTCTTTTTTGTCTTTCCATTTTTTAACACAGACTTTTGCTCTCTGACATGCTATCATTTCTCCCTTTTCAGATTTTTCTTTTGCAGATCTTTTAGCCCTTCTTTCCTATCCAGTCTCAGGGTCCCAAACATATCCATTTTATATTGTCAAAGAATATCACTGAATTCTAGAGAAGTATAAAAGTTATATCTAATGTACTTACAATACGAGTTTTTATAGATTGTAGCACAAAATTATGCTTTATTTTTCACAACTAAAATAAATGCAAATTAATAAAAGAGGACAACCAGAACCTATTATTAGATTTCACTAGAAACAAACATTGAAAATGAATACAATGTTCTAAATAAAAGAATATGGAAGAAATAGTCTCTATAAAACAAATAAACAGACATGTGAGTGTATCTCATGCAAACACAAATCAACTGGTTGAAATGACAGCTGCCCAAGCAATGGTTGGGATTGTCAGTATGTAAACAAATGTGCTGTTCAAGTAATGCTCAGCATAAACTCGTAAGTGGTTAATTTTGATAAAGAATTTTTATTTCCTTGTTCAATTCCAAACACCCCAAAACTATTACAACCCCAAAATATATTAGTAAATATGGAAACCATGAAGCAAAGACTCATTGAGGGAACAGGGAGAATCTTAGTTAAAAAAAAAAAAAACCTAGGATAATGGGGTTTATAAAGTATTAGTGTGGTGGACCCCAAGTGGCCTCTGCAATCTCCTAAGCTGGTGGCATTCCACTTGCCCTTGTTTGCTTTGAGTCACCTAAGAACATCAAATATGTTCTCCGGAAAAGAGGGTTGAAGTCACACAAATATAAATCATGTGTCTCAGGCTTACCAGTTTAATATGTTCTCGTTTCTGGTATTTTTCACTGTAGTACTGCTCTTGCCGAAGATTTAATAGCTGCTGCTGTTGTTTGTCCTTCAAGTCTATTAACTTTTGGGTCATTTCAGCATCTAGGGCAGCGAGGTCTTGCTCAATGGTCGAGGAGCCATGGTCAGGACTGCTGGGTTCTGATCTGCAAGACACAGAGTTTGACTCACAAAACATAGGGGTGGTAGCAAGGTACAGGGAAGGCTATTGACCACAGCTCTTCCTAGAGAAGAAACTGAGTTTGGAAATAAATATTTAGATGAGCCACTTGGCATAGAGAGTGAGGTCCAAGGACAAGTTTAGCAACAGAAGGTCGTTAATGAAATGGGCATTGCTCTAGGATGAGGCAAAGGCAGAAAGAAGAGCCAGAAGCTCGATGGTGGGTAGGGAGGGAACAATAATCTCTCTTTGGGAAGAATAATGCCTACTAAGGGTTTGCTAAGGTTGTCTTGTTATTTATTTTGAATGTGGCATGTATCATGCCATTTCTGGTTCTATCTCCAGTGTCATGGGAGGTCCCCTGGGGCTTATTGGGACACTGCCTAAGTACACAGCAGGGAGTGTTGTAGTGCACCTGCTCTAAGACAAACAACCTTGGGACAAACCCTGTGGATTAAGAACAGGGCCATCACTGGGGTTATCAATTCCCGATGTTAAAAAAAAAAAAAAAAAGAACATGGCCATATCCCTGTGTGCTGTGTCTGGACAGAAGCTGTCCAGTTATTGGAAAAGCTCATTTGAGTCCACAATAAGCTGAGGAAGAGAATGACCTAATTGATATTACTCCCTATTTTGGGCTATTTTCAGATTTAGCTGTGAATTAAAGGAGATGAGAGACGGACAGACAGATGTAACCACCACCTCAGTGGCTCTGCTGTCTACTATGGATCTTAAAATACCAGGTACTCCAGGGACTTTTTTGTTTTTGGAGAGATGGGATTTAAAAAAAAAAACAAACACATGAAGAATATCTCTGCATCTTCCATTAAAATAGGGTTGAAATCTTAACCTCTAATGTTGTTTGTATAAGGTCCGTGAAATAAATTCTTTGGTAACTTAGTACCAGGAAAACATTTGTTTATCTTGCATGTACAAGCAAGTTTCCTTTAATCAGATAAGGAGAATTAACTGACCCATATTTCTTTTTCTCGGAGGCTAAGAAGTTAATTCAACCTCCAAGGGCAGAAATTACTTTAAATGGTTGGTTCTGTCCAGTAGAAATACAATGTGAGTTACCCTTGTGGTTTTTTCCACGTGTGTAATTTAAGACTTTTAGTGACCATCTTAAAAAGAAAAAACACTGAATGAAATAAACGTGAATAACATACTTTCTTTAACGAAGTATACCAAATTAGTATCACTTCAATATGTACATACAGAAACATAAGAGCTACTGTACTGTAGAAATTTGCTGTGTATTTTATAGTTGCAGCATATTTCCACACTGAGGGTCTACATTTTTCTTTGTCATGCTTGCTGAGGATGGAACCTAAGGTTTCTCACATGAAGAGCAGGTACCCTACCGTGGGGTGACAGCCTTAGCCGAGATGAGCCACATTTCAAGGGTTCAAGAGCCACATGTGTCTAGAAGCACCTATATTAGAGCAGCTAAAGATAACTGGCCGAAAGCTCAGTGTGTGTGTGCTTGTATGGATGTAGGTGTTGTTTTATATTTTCATAGGATGTTTCCATACATGATTTCTATGATGTTATTTTGATGCTCTACTGGAAGTTTGTAGGCTATGTTATGTAAGCATATAAATAAGTGAATAAAGAAATGGATATTAGGAGATGTTTTAGCTCAACCTTTGCCTAAGTGGCTTCATATTACAGGTAAATGTTAATGTCTTAGCTTTTGGCATCCTCCTTGAAGAAGTGACAGATTGCCCTAGATGGTTTGTAAGTCTGTTCCAGCTCTAAGGAAAGATGATTTTGTTGCCTTTTAAAACTCAAGTACTAAATAATAAAATTTTAAAAAAAGCTGGGGATGTAGCTCAGTGGCACAAGAGCCTGCCTGACAAGTGCAAGGTCCTGAGTTCAATTCCTGGCACCAAAGGAAAAAAAAAATTAAAACTCAAGCACTGCCTTGTGATTGTGCTTTCAGATGGAGCACAGGTTATGTCATGTCACAGTATGGATCTAAAACACGTGTCTTCCCTCTCCTTGCAACTCAGCATCAAAATCAGGTAACTCAGGGAGGACCTGAAAGGAAGGAGGCGGCCATTCTCAAAGTTTCAGGGTGATTTATCAAATATTCAGTGAGAGAATAAAACTCTATTTCTCTGCAGCAGCTATGATGAGTCAAGCTCTCCAGAGACACTTCAATGAGAAAGTCAATGACAATCTTTCCAAAACAGCTTTGAATAATTGCATAGTTAACTCTAAACATGATTGCCCAGAGCTGTGAAGATCACTGGATTATCTTCCACTGTATTTTGCCCATTTGTTAATCAACATACAAAAAATCATGATACCTGATGAGTCATTTGTGTACTGTAGCTACAGAAAATGAATTAGCTTATTTTAAATGACTTAACAGCTTTTTTCACCTTTTTTACACATATTTCGTTAAAATACCAAATACACATTGAAATAGAGTAAAGAATACTTTTAAAAAATTATCCTTCTAAACTATACATTTTTTTCATGCCACAAATAACATTGTACTTTTTAAATGGTGTGAGTAGACATTCATTAAAATTTTAGAATAGTGCCTACAATGTTCTTAGCTAAGCTCAATAAAGAAATTAAAAAGTAATCTTGATATTTAGCTATAAACCTTGGAGAAGGACAAAAATAAAAACTTAAAGCAACTGCATATTATTTTCACTTCTCTAATTCTTAATTTTCAAGAAAATATTTTTAAAAAATTAACCATGTTGATGACAGAGCTTCACCCTGCAAAATGTTCACTACCAGCATGTTCATACCATAAGCCCACAAAGGACATTCAAAAAAATTCCAGCAATCTAAATCTAGAAGAATAATCTCATAACATTTGGGATATTGCTGAAAAAATTCATTTGGGCTTAGTTATTTCATGCATCCATCAATAGTAAGAGATACTCAGACAGGCAGTTATAAGATTCTAAATCCTTTGTAGAATTAGAGGGCCCCCTTGCAGGAAGCAGTCACACATCTCCAGAGATTCAAGTTCCACACCTATTGCACCAGAGGACACAGTGGGGCACCAGGCTGTGGCTACAGTGAAACTAGACCTGTGTGAGGAACATGCTCCTGGCTGGGGAACAGCTTTCCTGAGCTTCACTCACTGCTTGTCCAATGTGGGTGATGCCTGGACCTAAGTTCACAGTGCTGTGTGAGGAACACAGAGAAGAGTGCACGCACATGCTCAATCCATGCTCTGGGGTAAGCAGTGTCCCCTTGAGCATAGGTCCTTCCTTGAACCTGGACTTACTGCCTTATTTGGAAAGTGGGTGGTTGCAGATGTAATAGATATGATGAGGTCATTACAGTAAGGTGGACTCTCATCCAATGATTGGTACCCTCAGAAAAGAAAGTTTGAAGTAAGCCTCCATAGAGAGAACTCCACACAATAATGGAGGGAGAGGTTGGAGGATGGGTCTACGGGCCAAGGTATGTTAGGGATTGCTGGTAACCACCAAGATCTAGAAGAGCAAGGAAAGATTCCACACCAGATCTTTCAGAGCAGGCGCCCAGCTGATGCCTTGACTTTGGACTCCTTGTCTCTGGAACTGGGGGGCTGTAATTTCTGCTGCAGTAAGGCATACAGTTTGGGCTGCTTTGTTCAGCAATCCCAGAAAATGGATACAACACATACTCCTGACACTTCCTTAACACTCAATGTACTGGAACAGTCCCACAACAGAGGCAGAAGAATTCCAGAGGCATTAGCAGAGTTCAAGGATAAGCTAAGGTGAGTAGCCCACTGTGGGATTCTGAGAACAAGAGATATTCTGAAATGCACAGGCAATCAGAAAAGTGAAATTCTCACATTTTAGGTCTAGAGGTAGGATGTGCAATCTTCATGCAAGAGATTTACAGATCAGGAAGCAACTATGAACCTGGAAAATCTTCACTCTCCTAGTTCATCTCCATGGGATCTAAGCACAGGCTACATACAGGTTACCATGGGGCACTGGGGAATGAGTCTGGCAAGGCGGGAAGGAACTGGAACCGAGAAGGCTTTTGCGTCACCCTTCAATTTCTGGGATGCCCCTCAAGGATCCCAGACCAGGGCCCATCAGTGGGAAGTCTCTGGACCAAGGTCCAGGGAGCCTCTTGGAAATTCAAATATTCAGGCCCCACCCTGGGTGGAGGCTTAGTTGTCTGCATTTACCAAGCTCTCCCGTGACCTCCTAGACCAGGCTCACCTAGGTAATGCAGTGTCACCAACAGATGAGACATGGGGCGAGAGCACGAGTTTCATTCTGCATATGGACACCTGGAAACTGGAGATCTGCTAGGAACAAGCAGATCCCCCTCTCTACCAGGTTCTGAACCCCATGTTTCTTCCAAAATCAAGAATCCTCCCTCTTCTCTCCCTTTCTACCACCAGCGTCCTCATCAAGGCTTAGCTGGGCCCGTGATGAATTCCCCAGCTGGTCTGCCGCTCCAACATGCATCCTCCGCCTGCATCCTCCACCTGCATCTTCCACCTGCATCCTCCACCTGCATCCTCCACCTGCATCCTCCGCATGCATCCTCCACCTCGCCCTCACAGTGGGGCCTGCAGATCAGCAACATCAGTGTCCTTGCTGCTGCCCAGGGTCAGAACCTACAGCTAACAACACCCCCAGTGACTGGTGCATCCATTTGAGAACCCCAGTTCAAGGTTCTACCTTCCACACAGCAACCAAAGTCCTTTTTGGAGGATGGAAGACCATAAATTCCACTGAAACTTTCTTTTTCTTCAGTGGATTCTTGACCTTACACAAATTCCAAACTGTCACTTGCTCTTATCCTAAAGTCATAGTGATATGATTCTCCTTCTTACTTCTCTGACTTCATTTTGTGGTTTACTGTTTTCACCCACTTTGCCAACTTTATTGTTCCTTCATTTTCCCCTGCCTTAGGGCCTTTGCACTCACATTCCCTCAGCCTGGGATGATCCCCCTTCATTCTTTGTAGAGTTGAGTACCACAGGCCAGATTACCATGTAAAAGGGTACTCTCGCTCCTAGTCATTCTCCCTCACAGGATCCTTATTTTTTCCCTTGATATCACCACAGTCTGGAATGATGCTCTGTATTTGTTTGTTGTTCCTCCTCCCCACATTACCATCTTAGCTATTTGAGATTGAAATTGTGTAGGTTCAGTTCATTGCTATATTCCCAGGCACAATAGGCATTCTGTAAATACCAGCTGAATGTGTGGGAGATGCTGCTTGCCCTGAAACACAGGGATCACCCCTCAGGGCTCTATGAGCTTTAGATAGGGTAGCAAAGGAGAAATGGCACTTCTCTTTTAACCTATGACAAGTTGCTTCTTCAACTGGGCTTTAGCTACATGAGCAATTTTTTAGACCATCCAGGTTGGCAGCTATAATCTGGAAAGTCAGCCACCCGGTGTCAGGGCTCTGGGCCAGAGCTCCGTGAGGACTTCCCGTGAATCTACTCTCAGAATTTGGTCAAGTAAAGACATTCAGCAAACAAACACAATGAGCTGAATGATTCAAGAACCACAGAGCTTGGAGAACTGGGTGGCTTTCTTTCCTATGGTGGTGTAGGTAGGACCAGCAATGTGATATTAAGCCCCCACAATCCATGGACATGAGGATTTTCCTTTGTACTGTAAAACAAACATGCATTCAACTCACTTTTTCTTGCTGTCTTTTTTGGCAGTCTTTTCCAAGGCTGCCCTCCTTCTCAAGTAATCGTTCTGAATTTCATTGTACTTTGTAGTGTGTTCTTTGATCAGGTCGGTGGTTTTCTTGTGGTGCCTCTTAACCAGGTCTTTCATTTCCTTGTAGTGCTTCTTTTGAAGTTTCACAAACGATTTCTGTTGCTTCAGCTCTTCGATGGTCTGTGCTTCCACTTCTGCAACAAATGAGCATAAGAGCCAAGGAAGGGGAAGAACAGACATCCAGAGGGGAGGAGAAGCAGGAGGAGCAGCCGCTGCTGGGGAGCCATGGCTATGTGACATGGCCTCCTGCAGCTTCAGGGAAGAGCTTTGGTGTCACATATATTTGGGTTCCCACATGGTTCTACCACTTGCTAACTTCATGACTGTGCTACTAACCTTCTCTAAGACCCACTTTCTTTATTTGTCATTAAAAAAAAAAAAGCCAAGGGTTTTGAGCCTAAAATGGGGATTCAGGTGACTTACTGAAGGGATCTCAGGGTGAGGGAATGAGGGAGGCAGATAGGACAGGGGCAGCAGGTGGGGCGGGGATAGCTCAGCTGGAGCCTGGCTTCTGTGTAGGGCCAGGTTGGTCTCCTTGTGAGGCAGGAACGTCAGCGTCTTGCAAATTTGGGACAACCATCAGGGGGGAGCATAGCTTTCTGGAGATGGGACTTTTCTCAGCTCACAGCAATGTTGCAGAGCATGGGAAGCTATGAATTGTCGGCAGGGTACCCCCGCATTGGCTTTATAACCTGCTGTGTTGTGAGGATGATGACATAAGGGGATTTATGCAAAGTGTTTAACAGTTTCTGACATTGAAGCCATCACAGTGGCGTCTCTAAGGGGGGCACCTTTCGTGGTACAGACATCACAGGCTTTTACATTTATCTCAAACCTGTGTGGCAGGTAGCAAAATGTCTGGCAGGAATATCCTTTAATCCGACTTGCACAAAAGCACGAGTACAGTTAGCGGATGCTTATGTGACTACATTGAATTGTTTCCAATATTTTAGAAAATGTTTACTATGACAGAGCCTGACTTTAAACCATGCTGTGTCTCCCTGTCATGTTTCCTCAATGCTACAATATGCATTTTAAAAATACGTTCACGTTTCTGAAATCAAGATGGCCACCACTGGGGTGTCACGCTTCCTCAGAGATTTTCTTTCAGCAATACAGGAACAGCAGGGTGCCTGTCAATTGATGGAGCCTTAATTTCAGTGAATTATCATTTATTTGGACCTAGATTAAGTCAGAGTTCACATATTTCCATCCTTTGATCTGAACTGTCTGCTTCTGGGAATAAAAAATCATGTTCCTATAAATATTTACAACTGTCAAGAGATCCAAAAATAATATATGCCATGAGTAACAACAGACTTGAATAGAAAATGAGATATCTAGTGAATAAGCATTAGAAGCAGAATAATAATATATGCTCCTAAATGCTAAGGTCTTTAAGCAACTGAAATATACACTTCCTTCCCTTATAATGTCTATTCTCTTGACATTCAATTTTGTTTTATTTTATTTTATTTTATTTTATTTTATTTTATTTGTGTGTGTGTGTGTGTATGTGTTTTAAGAAAGCAGTCACAGAGAAAACCGAGTATATTACTTAATGGTTTCCCTCAGGCCCAGACTGACTCAATACAGTTGCATAAAAAGTTAATTCATTAAGAATTTATAACCTAAAGGAATTTCGAACAACTAATTCCTACTTCTTTAAACATGGTTTGCAGCAAAATAACTGTTGGGTTCCAGATGTCCTAACCTATGATTTTAAAAGTCCACCAAAAATACTAGCTCTTAAAGTCTCTACATGAAAGGCTGGTCCTTAGCATATTCTTTAAGAATGAAGGTAATGCCCATTTATCAAAAGACACAAACATCACTCACAAATAAGCAGAGATAGTCACAGCTAATATGCTGATACAAGACCCACTGGGTTTTGTCTGTGCAGTTTTGTTATTACTGTTCCTTTTTGTATCTTTTTGATTTATGTCTTGACTCTGAGTAGCTACTTTGATGATAACAATACCACTGTATTAGCTATTGTTATTCTCTTATTATTTTGTCATGAAATTTTGTTTTATTTTCTCATAAAATAAAAAAGTAAAGAAAAAAGTACCAGTTGCAATGTTTCCCAGGAAATGAAGTCCTTAAATGAGTTTTGTTTTCTTTTAACACACTCCTCAAATAATTTTCTCTCTCTATATATATATATATATTATGAATTTTTGATGAAATATAAATATATGCATAAAAGTACATAAACCACACTTTATGATTTAAATTTTACAATCCTGTAAAATTTCACAGCATTATCACGTTTCAATCACCATCACTCAGGTGAAAAATTGAGATTACCACCAGTTTTTGCCTTCTGGTTACCCCTCCACACAGCAGATATAAGTCAAATCTGGCTTTTTAATGCATAAATTAATTTTGCCTCACTCCAAACTACTACGTGTGGGTGAAATTATGCTCTTTCATGTTCAGCTTCTTTTTCTCAGCATTATGCCTGTGAGTTTTACCCACATTGCTGCGTGACTGTAGTTCATTCTGCAGCTGTATCCTATTCTATCTGTGGATATAGCAAAATTCATATACTCATCTTTCTGTTGATGGACATTTCGGTTGCTTTTGTTTTTTTTTTTTTTTGTGGTTTTTCTCCGGTACCGGGAACCGAACTCACAACCTTGCGCTTGCCAGGCAGGCGCTTTGCCGCTGAGCTAAATCCCTAGCCCTCGGTTGCTTTTGGTAAATGTGAGGGTACAATTCTGTTGTGCAATGGGTCAAGTATTGTAAACATTTTTTAAGACTTCATTATACACTGCTGATTATACTGATGACAGTCGGTACCAATTTTGGCCCCACTAGCGAAAGTAACTAGGCAAATAAAAAAGAATTCTAAACTGTACCACAGTTCTTAAAAGCCGTGTATTTTATAGTCACACATTCTGCATATCACAGATATGGCACTTTGTGAAGACATTTGTTGGATCGTATTTCCAGTAGGAAGCTATTCTTATATTCAGAAATAAATATCCTGTGAAAGCATATTTTTTAATGCCAGTAGTGTTCTACATGCCAACTATGATTTCTCCTCTCTGATTACATCATGTAAAGTGGCCCAAACTGAAACTGTACATCTGTGTAATTTTTGAAAGAAGAAAATTAATCATGTTGTTTCTCGGGGCTAAGTTGAATTTTCTTCTAAATACTTAAATACTTACATGGGGTAATATTCAGCCACCAAATTCCACAGGAGGAAAAGGGTAGGATTTACCTTTTTTTTTTTTTGTTAGTGGGAATCTAACTCATGACCTCAGGCTTGCAGGCAGGCACTTATGCCACTGAGCTATATCCCCAGCCCTGTATTTACCTGTTAAGACACTCTGAATCAGATCTTCTGTTTTGGCAGGAGCCTTCACAGAACCTGCAATGCAAAGAAAATGAATAGTTTTCTTTAATTTTTTCTATCAAAAAAAAAATTTTTTTTTCTTTGGTTTTTCTCCGGTACCGGGAACCAAACTCATGACCTTGCGCTTGCCAGGCAGGCGCTTTGCCGCTGATCAAAAAAAAATATTTTGGGGGTGAAGGGTTGGCTCAGGGGAACCCTGTTTGCCTAACTTGTCTAAAGGTGTGGGTTCAATTTCCAGGATTAAAAAAAGAAAGAAAGAAAGAATCTTCTGATTCTGTCTCTTTATATAGAATGACAAATTAGGACTGAAAATCGTTTATAGCAAAATTATTCTTGGGAAGTATTTGTTTTGTAAGTCTGAGACACAACTAACTAAATGTGAAATTATATGTAGGCTCCATTTATAAAAAGAGAAAAAGGTATGATCAAAATGATAAATTGAGCCACAAAAATGTTATTGCTGCCTTTTTTAAAAATCAGGAATGAAAAGGTTGTTTTTACAAAAGCAAACTTAACACCTGGCGTGAATCACCTGCCTAACATGTAGGCAAGGTCCACTGGTGGCTGTCAAAACAGGGAGCAAAAGTGTAAAAAACACCAAATAGTTATGTAGTCTCGCAGTGAATCCTGCAAGATGTCAGAGGGGAAAGTCATACATTTCTGTGGGGAAACTGGCTTCACTGAGTGATCAGACCTCGCCTCGGTGGGATGTAAATGTCATGCACCCTGACAGCTCGCCCTGAGAAAGGCCCTGCATCCGTTCTGCAGTGGTCTTGTAAAATATTTAGAACCTTGGTTTAATAATGAGAAAATGACAGGAAAACTGGAACTGAAGGCCATTCTGGAAAATAACCAGAATTCGTCAAAAGTATCAAAATGATGAAAAACATGGAAACCTGAGCCACAAAACCTGAAGAGGCAGACAGACAGACACATGCAGTGCGGGGCCTGGGGTGGGAATCGTAGGGGGCAGGTGAAATTCCATCAAGGTCTGCAGTGCTGTGCACTTGTTAAGTTCCTGGTTTGGTAACTGCACCGTGATCTTACCAGACATTTACTTTATAGGAGAAGAATTTCTGCAATGCATTCTGTGCCATTTTAAAAGTGCTTTCTGTAAGTAAAATTTTTCTAAAATACAACATTCAAAAAATCAGATGCCAGGATGTTCAAATTCCCCATTTCTCCCGGAGGAATAGGACTGTTTATTCACATATTTAAATCCGTGTTTACATTTCAGAAGAACTCAAGATGTCTGTCCACAGTGTATGAGAATCTTTACTTGAAAATATCACTTCTTATTTTGTGGTTAATCATGTTCTTATCGTTATTGATTTCAGCAAACTTCCTAAAAGCATAGTTTCAATTCATGCATGTTTGATACAAATTAAAAAAGAATTGTTCTTTTTAAAAGTTTCATCTCTTTCCCATGACCAACACCCCTCCATTGCTCATAAAAGACCTGCGTCTTGTCATTGTGATGCCCTAGGATAGCAAGGTAGGAAAGGAACGTGAGGTCATGACTTTGTGAAAGAGAATATTTTTCCTTTTACTTCATTAACAAATTCCACAGAAAGTTATCAAGTACACAGTATTCTTCAGGGCTATGTGTGGTACAGAGGTCACAGCCAACAGGAACCAGTCCTGGGAAGGACACTGTCTACTGAGAGAACTGGGACATGCACACGACAGATCATTACATAAACCAGAGTGAGATTAAATGTCAAACTAAGGTGCACAGAAATCCCAGGATGGGCCTGAGAAATGAGACATGCATGTGGCCTTGGTTGGACTACAGAGGAGAAAGGCAGGAGTTTCAGCATCATCGGGAACTATGTCTGTCCTGACTTCACTCTCCACTGCATGTGTGGCCTTTTGCAAGTAGTTCATCACCTCAGAATTAGTTTATTCTCTACATGTGGGAAGGATAACAGGTCTACCTGCAGAGGCTATAATGAACTGAGAGAGCGGAGGGCTTAGCGGAGTGTTCGGGACACAGTGGACACTCCAGGTTGCTGAAAATAAGCTGGAAAAAGAGGGAGAGATGTTCTTGGCAGAGATCTAGTGAAGTAGGACTAGGAATGTGCTTCTAAAGCACTGTTTATGCAAGGTATGATCAAAAAATACAGTGAATGTTTAAAAAATGTTTTTACACATATAATCATATAAGAAACATTGCCATTAATCTCTCTCAAAATACTCACCTTCACTTCCAACAGACTTATCCCATCATTCTTACCACTGTCTTAAGCAGTTCTAGAAGTTTCCTGAACATCTTTAGTTGTACTGTCTTCGTTGCCTGGGTGTCCTGAATTATTTAAAATGCTTACTTTCACGATCATTTTTTACTTTTGAGAAGAGCCAGAAATCATATAGTGCCAGGTCCATCCAACAAGGTGGATGAGGACGCACCATAATGTTTTTATGAACCTGCCTTTTGGTGGAATGGTACTGGGCAGCAGGATTCACTGTATTTCTATCATTCTTCATAAAGACACTCACAAAAGAAGACTTCCGGAACCGCTTCAGAAAATGGCAAGAAGGGTGGGATAAGCGAGCTCAATGTGTATGCTCAGTGTGAGTGGGGGAAGATTAATGGCAATGTGTATTTTACCATAATAGATTTTTTAAAATGTAAACACTCAACCTATGTTTTGATCACCCTTGGAAGTTGCTTGAAGAACTCTTCACAACACCCTGCTAGCACATGGATCATAACCCACCATTCAGTAAAGACAGAGGAAACCTAGTGAGTTCACTGATATCAGTAGAGCCAAATGATGAGCACATGTGAGCCCTCCCATCATTCATTCATTCATCACACAGCCCACACTGCTTCCCACCAGAGTCCCCCTGCCTCCTTTGGGGGTACATGGAAGCCCAAGGCTCGTAGTCTTGTGCAGGGATCTTTCAGTTGATACCTGGAGCTGGCTGGCTGTGCAGAGCCTGGGAGGGCTGTTTGGGCGCCAGGGATGTAGTGTGATTCATCCCGTTTTCTGCCGGAGTCGTCCTGGCTTCACTTGGAGCCTCTGAAGGTGTTTCCCCAGGATCAGCCTGAAATGAAAAAATTTTCTTTTACTTTTTCCAAATTTCTTATTGTTCTTTTACTGCCTCCCTAAACCAACAAGGCTACATGCGACAGCAATTTCACAATTGATGTCTACAATGTCCTTTTGAAACTATCAGGAATGCAGGATAAGTCCAGTGTGTTGTTGAATCAGGATCATGGTAAGTGCATTGTATTAAAGACTTCACCTTATTTCGACTTCCCCTTGTGCTTGCCTTTTTGTAGTTACCTCCTGCACTGCCTCAGGCCCTGACCATGTGATTTGCTTTTGTCAAATGAGAGAGGAGCTAACTGGATGCGCACAGAGGACCTAAAGACACTTGCAAATTTTTTACTTTTTCTTAGAGCCCTGCTGTAGCAACAGGTATAAAAAAACCCACAGAAGGAAGCTAAGTCATCCTTGTCAGGTTGAGCTAAGCCTGTCCCTGCGAGGTACCTAAACATGAGTGGGTCGGCTAAGGTTGCAGAGCTGCCCTGCTGCGCAAATGACTCAGGACACATAGTAAATAATTCATGGTGGGCCACAAAATCTAGGGATGGTTTGTTTTGCAGTCATCACTAGTTGGTGGGATGGATGAAAGCACAGAGCTTGGAGCTAGGTTTGCCTGGGTTTGGATCCTGGTCCTGCCATTTACTTAGAGTGTGGCTCTGGGGAGGTCACTTAACCCTCGGTTTCCTCGTCTGTCCAGATGAGGATCTACATATGCCAGAGATTACAGTATTACTATTTGTAAGGCTGCTTAGCAGATCAAATGAGTCAACATCATAAAGTGTTTAGAATGCTCTCTGGCTTGGAGTAAATACTGGTGTGCTAAATAAATTACATGAAACAGGTAAGTTCATACAACACTGTTAATGAATGACAAGAAATGCATCAAAACCTATCAACTCTACACCACTCCAGCAGCTATTCCACTATTTAGGGGAAGCATTTATCAAATGAATAAAGGCTTATCCTTATAGAATAATTGCCTCACTAATCCCATGCTGTGTCAACAAAGCTTTTCAATACTCTAAGTGGCCTGCAGCTCTTTTTTTAAAACTGCCTTCCAAGTCCACGGCAGGCTTTGCTGACAACTGGTTTAACCCAGTACTCCACTTTGTGGCCCATTCATAAAAAACATTAGGAAACTCACTTTTCTGGAAGGTGTGTCTGGAGCCCAGCATTGTGACAAGTAATTACAGAGCAGATTGCGTTACAAGATCATTTTTTTTTTAAGTTAGGAGATCAGTGAGAAGAATGACATAGGTCATCACTGGTGGCTTCTAATCTACTCCCAAAGCATCTTCAAATTGCTTCAAGCAATGGCAGAATGTATTTTAAGACAACAGCTCACTCCTGCTTATAAATCAGACACGTTCAGTGCTGGTGGCATCGAGGCAGATGAGGTGAGGCCCAGTACCAGTGGGTGGACATCAAAGAGTGGAGGCAGCAACCGCACCAGTGTAACCCAGGCAGCCGACAGAGCTCACCATGGTAAATCATTCCCACCACATAGCTGCATGAGCTAAAATGCAGAACCAAATTCCTTCTCCCGCTGAAAAGCTTCAACAGAAGTCAATACCTATGACTTCATTTTTCTCTAGACTTTCTCCAAGTACTCGTTTCTATGAGCTCAAATAAAATAACCACAAAATCATTTTGCACTGTACTGCACCAGAAATTATGATAGAAACAGAAGAACAAGAATGTTTTATCAATTTAATTGAAAGAGTTCTAGGATCCAACTAAACACACTTCAAGGAAAGAAGATTCAGAAGATAGGACTTCCGTTGCACTAACTAGATTTTACTTTCTGGAGTAGAGAATAAAGTTGCAGAATGAACCACAGAGGAAGTAAGCTCCTGCCCTCTAGTGGCCAAATGAAATCATTGAAATATATATATTTTTTTCGAAATATGCCAAATTTGACTTTTAAAAATTAAGATTTTACAAAAAGAATTTAAACCTTTCCCAGTTTGAACATGAAAAAATCTGAGGGTATAATTATGAAAATCACTAAAAGTATAATTGAAACAGCTATTTTTTTTTGTTGTTGTTGTTTTTCTCCGGTACCGGGAACCGAACTCACGACCTTGCGCTTGCCAGGAAGGCGCTTTTGCCGCTGAGCTAAATCCCCAGCCCCTGAAACAGCTATTTTTTATAATTTTTTTTAAAAGGAGGAGAGGATATATATGCTATTTAAAAAGAATTTCATTCTGGACAATGAAAATTGAAATTTGATGATAAAACAGTAGAGAACAAATATTTCAGGAATTTGATTCAATGGCTAACATGACAATTAAAGTACCTATAAAGTACCCGGGGTGTAACCGAGGCTTTAGAGGTGTTGGATCATCCTGGCTTTGCCAGAGTCATCTAAAATGTCCAATTCTTTCTGTTAGCTGGCTAGGGCCACAACATCATAATTTGAACACCATCTGGGTAAGGGACAGAGTCATCAGTTTTTCCAGAATATTATGAGGAAGACTGGTAATTTCATGGTACAGAAATACAGTCCACTAGGGACAGACGGGGCAGTGCCTGTGGCTTTGGTAGACCCAGGCTTTCCCAAACAGGGGTACAATTTAGACTTTAAACTTCTATTATATGAGCCAAGAGAGATGATAGGTCTCCCTCACATTTTTAAGCCAATCAGAACCATTCCTGGAAGCCATGCCCCAGTGTATGCATTCTTCAGAGCTTAGGGGTGAAGCGTATTGCTTTTTGTAACCTAACTTGAAGAGCATCAAAAATAAGAGGGATTAGTAAACCAGTGGAGGTATTTATATGTGATAAAGTGCATACAACAAAATTCTATTTGCAGCATCCAGGTAGTAAGATAAGAATGTTCACTGCATAATTCTTTCCATATTCATGAATATTTGAATATTTTTTAAGAGTCCAGGAGCGTGAATTACAAGCAAAAGACAGCCTTCAGTAGCTGGATAAATTCATCTCTGGACTTCAGTTTTTTTGAACTTCTTTATAATCACCTAATATGTACAATTATTTTTGGTGTTGTTTTTTCAATTAATGCCAAGCAAATATTTCCAAGAGTAATTGAACATAGGCTTGATTGATTCTTTACACTGCTGGGCTGTGAAATCATATTTAAAAACATCAACACTCACATAGTATCTCTCCATGAAAACATTAATGTCAAATGTGCATTTACTTGTCTATGTTTGAATTTTTATTAATTTCAGTTTCTTCCTCAGCTTATAAAATCTACAAATGTATCTGATCACACACACACACACACACACACATATATATCACTACACACCACCTGCAGTGACTGACACATAATTGGGTTAAGAGAATTATTGAATGAATGAGTAAAAAAAGAATAAATCTACCCTTAGCTTCCTGCAAATGCACAATTAATATATATTCATTTAGTGGTGAAGTCCTGAAAGTTAAGAGCCCCTTAAATATTTTGCTAAAATAAGAAAGATATTTTTAAACATATGAACAAGTTAATGAGTGGAAAAATGATGCTGCATTTTCGGTTGTCTATAGTTAAAGAGAAAAAACTGCATTTGATTCTTCATTGCAGTGGGTTTCTTACAAAGCTATGAAAGGGTAAAACTCTGCTATTTTATAATATATTGTATATAGTTGACCATTGGCATCCAAGTGGAATTGCTGGAACGTATTCGAGGAACCCCTGAAATCTGCAGAAGCTTAAGTCCCATATGTAAAAAGAGTGCAGGATCTGTGTATCATCTATGAGAATCCTCCTGCATATTTCCAATCATCCCTCATTACTTATCATACCTAACCCGTGTAAGTGCTATGTAAATAGTTTAGGGAATGGTGATAAGCAAATAGTCTCTATATTCAGTACAGAGGCAATTAAAACATTTTTTCAATCCACGGTTGGTTCAGTCTGTGAATTTGTGCAATCCATAGAGACAGAAGCCACTCATACTTAAAGTCCATAGCAACTTTCTAGAAATGTTTTCTTAGTTTCCACAGAAATCAGCTAGGAGAAACATCATCTGTCCTAAAAAGAAAGTACATCAAATACCCTTGAAATTTGCCCCATGGCAATCTATCTTTGACCTTAATGGAGCCGAATCATTTCATAGACCCCATAGCCCATCACTCATAGGACAAATCCTGGATGATGCCCAGGGAGAGTTTCACACGGAGCCCTGGTTTCTGTGACTAAACTGACATTTCACAGAGGACAGAATTAATGGGTTTCATCTGAGCAGAGCCACCAGGTGTATGTAGGGCTCCAAAGCAGAGATTCCTCCTATGTGGTCCCTGACCTGTATCAGCATCGCTGCCAGCTGTCAGTGAATCAAGTTACTAGGTCCACCCCAGACCTACTGACTTAGAAATGCTGGAAGTGGAGTTCTTCAATCTGCATTTTCAGAAGCCGTCCAGATAATTCTAGACATGCAAAAATTCAAGAGCCTTGCCGCTCAAAATATGGTCCATGAGCAAACAGCACTGGCAGCACCTGTGAGCTTGTTAGAAACGTAGGATTCCATGACCCATGCTGACCTGCTCAATCTAAGTCTGAAGCTTCAATAAGACTTACATGACAGGAATGAGATTAAAGTGTGAGAACTTCCACTGCCGAGCAAAGTAAAAAACTTCATCATGGATCCACGGTCGTATTTTTATGCTCTCAGGCACGGCATGGATCACGATATTCAGGGTTTTGGATTTATCACTACTTTACACAGGTGGATGCTAAGGCTGTCTTTATAACCCACTGAAATTTTCTAAAATTGTCACTGTGAAGATTTGTACAAGCAGTGGAGTAAAACTCTGGACTCATTTAAACTCAAAAGAATGCATGTTCTGTCTATATTTTAAAGATCTTAGTTCTTCAGTCTATTAACCATTGATGATTATTTATTTTTTATTAATAGTTTTTAATAATTACTTGCAGTCATTGTTTATTAGCAAGTCTTTCTACCACTATGAATAAACATTTGCTCTTCTACAGGTGAGAATTGCTCCGTGTTAGTAGGGCCCACTTTT